TAGGTAACTGTCTCTCAAACATTCAAACCCATTAAACACTCCAAATAGACCTGGACCATGTTAAAATCTGATCCCCAAGCAGGAAATTCTAGAATTACTCTGAAAATTATTGGAGTGGGAGGAAACAGTTTTCTCCTCAGTTTCTTGTCAACTGTTTTTTTTTTTTTTTTTTTTGTGTGTGTGTGTGTGTGTGTGATATTCTGTCACCATCAGTCTGGACTTGCTCCTGGGTGCTTGGGGGAGAAGGATGCAGCCTCTGGGCAGGCAGCTCACTTCCTCCCCGGACCTCCCCAGGGCTGGAGTCCTTTACTGAGTGCTGATTCCTCTGAGCTGCCAAACTCCTGCTGAATTCAGGGAGAGAGCTGAGAGGTTGCTACTGGCTGCAAGCCCTTGAGACCATTTTATTTCCATGGAATAAGCAGGATGCTCAGAGTTGGAAACAGTTGGGAGCTGACCTGCTCAAGGCCTGAATGCCCAGGCTCCCTGTGGGCTTGTGTCCTCACACAGGCAAATCCCACGTTCTCTTGTCCTCCTTCCTTCCTGTGCCAGACACGATTGTCCAGATTGGACGCTTGCCTTTCAGGAGTTCAGAAGCACAGCTCTTGTCTACCCATGACTCACTGCTGGCCTCGTGTCCTGTTTTTCAGGACCTGGGGCCAACTCTTTTAGTACAGGTCCCCTCCTTCAAGAATCCAGGCCCCTCTGTAGCACTGTCCACAATGCACAGCATGTGTCTAATAACACTAATTAATAAGCAATCATTTATTAATAACACCGGAATTATCATTGCATAGGAGCTAGAAAACCAAACAAACTCCAGCAGGCTGACCACGTAGTGAGCACAGCACTTCAGACACAAGAGGAGAGAGGAGCTGAGGGAATATTTGCAAGGGAACTTGGACAAAATGCTCTGGGCCCACAGCCTTGGAGGCCGGTTTTGCAATCTATTTGGGAAAAAGGAAGGTGGGGACTTAGTGACTTAGAAAAGAACACACTGGGGGCAGGATGAAGACTGCAGAGTTTGACCCAACTGAAGTCCTGGCTGGGGAAATAGCAGAAATGTCTCATGTCCTATTCCAGCAACTTGGTCCTGGCTTGAGAGTCTTTTCATATTTCCAGGGTTGGTTGATAGAGTGGTGGGAACTCTGAAAGAAAAACCCATTTAATAGATGAAGAAACTGAGGCCGTTGACTATTATCATCATTTTCCAAAGATGATTGAAAAGTGAAGAAGTAAATGAAGGACCTATGAAAACAAAGCTAAAAACCTCTGAGCAAAAGCAGTCCCTGTTTGTATACCAAGAGTCATTAGGGGTGGCAGGAATGGATATGTCCAATCTATTTATTTATAGACCCTGACTTTATAGGCATAGTCTTTTTAATAAATGTACAGTTGCATATCTTTCAATAAAAAACAATAAACCAACTTGCTGTGAGTAGTACATGAGATACTGCATTAGCGTCAAGCCACGTACTAGTCTACCTGGCAGGAGGTAATAGTGCTAATGACCAGGCCTAATAGCTAGTAATACCCTGGTAAGGACAAGCGGCTTACGTACGGCCCATTTCCAGTCTGATTGATTGGTGCCTGGACCAGCTGAGATATTAAATATTTTAAATTCCACCCTGATAAGAACAATTGAAACTCTTTTTTATTGTAGACTTTGCATGTGCCATTTGCAATAATAGGTGCTTTTGATATAATTCTCACAGGCAATGTTTGGGGATGGTACTGTGATCATTCCCATGTTATGGATGAGAGAACTGAGGCTTGGGATGTTAGTAACTTGGCCTAGGTTTCAAAGCCAACAAATGGTGGAGCTTGAGATTTACTGAGTCTTGGGGTCTCAACCATGATACTGCTAAGTCAAGGGCTTGCAGGGGCAACTTGTAGCAGATCATTCTTCTTATTGTTTTTACTCATAATAACATTTTTTCCTGAATGTCATGGACAGCTTATCCTTTGGATTGGTATTTTGTTTTTCTGCTTTGCTGAATGTACTGGTCTGGCATATTTGAGAAGTCTGGAACAGACCTCAGCCTGTTTTGCTCTCCCTGTGAATTGGGTACAGATCTCAGCCACTCAACCCAGGGCTGAGGGCAGATCGGGCTCACAAGAGAACCTGCTACTTAAATGACCTCTGGTTAAGGCCCTTCTCAACCCAGGTCAGTGATGAAAGCCTGGGATCTTGAGGGCTTCCATTGTGCCTCCTGAGTCTTCCCTTAAAAATGTAAGCATCATTGCTGACATGGTCCCTTCATTTGGGTGAACTCCTGATAATGTTTTTTTTTTGCTTGTGGCTACATTACATGTTTTCAAGGAGACCCGACTTAATTCTCTTTGATGTTTTCTTTCTCTGCTATTTTGTACATATCCATCCTCACAAATCTGTAGCGATCCAGGGGAATGCCGGATCTCCAGAATGAGCAGAGTGGTAGTAGTTAGCTAAAATGATATGGAGGAATGGGGTAAATTGAGCCCAGAGATTTCATGATGAAAGGCAGACTCAAAAGATACACTGGAGTTATTGAAAGATAGAAAACACTTAGAAAGCCTAAGAAACGACTAAATGGAACAAAATGGTAATAACAAGTATATTCAAAACATACACAGTAAAGTAGGCCGGAGAGCAAAGGGGCTAAAAAAGTATGTGATGGTAGCTATAGTCACGCCCTGATGAGCTAAAGCATTAACAGTGACATGATGAAATAAAGGAATGCCAACTATAGGGGGCAGTCCAAAGTTAATAATCCTGTGCAGGGGCAAAGGCAGACCTTTGGGCTGAGGTAGGGAATATTTGTGAAGGACTTCTTTGGGTAGGCGTTCTTGTGTGTGTATCTTACTGGAGTCTCGCAGCAGTCCTAGGAAGTCAGAACAGGTGTTATCTCCATTTTATAGATGATGATGTTGAAACTCAGAGAGGAAGAAGAACATTATCTAAATCACATGGCATTTAGGTGGCTCAGCTGGGACTGGAACCCAGGTATGTCTCAACCTCGAGGCTGTCCTCTAGACATTCAGTGGTCTTCTTGCTGTGCTCTCCCTGCTAGGCTAGTGTTTGCCAGAGACCGCCCATGGGGCTGGCACCTGCAGGGTTCTCAGTGCTGAGCCTCACTTTGGGCTCATGCCCTCAAACCCATAAGTCCCTCAGGTCTCTTCCTGATGCTCCCAAAGGTGACCATAGAGCTGCCCTGGTTGTTTTCACTGTGCCTTCGGAATTTCCTTCCACTCTTGAGAACAAACAGGGTGCACAGGCTTCAAGGAAGGCCTAGGAAAGATGTAGGCCCAGGGCAGTTCAGGTCTAGAGCAAACAGGCGGGAGAGCAGATGCTAGATATGGACTTAATCCATTAAAGCATATTTGTTGGTGTTCCTGTATGTGCTGGGAACACTGAAGATTGGGGGGGGGGACGCGGAAAGCAGACACAAGAAAATGAGATTATGATCTGAAAGGTAAAATAGACTGAAAAGTGGACTAGTAATACTAGAATTGCTTGACCAGACCAAATTGCCACTGGTCCATCTAGGACCAGACCAAATTGCCACTAGTCCAACAAGCTTGCCTTGAGATACCCATCTCTAGACCAAAATAGTCACTTGCTAATTGACAATCCCAGAGAACTTCTTTTGCGTTGCTTTCTTGACTGTAATATATCCTTGCTTCTCCATTGTGGACTCCTTGGGGCTGGAACTTGAGTAGACTCATGGGGTGTCCTGTGAACATTATGTCTGTACTATTAAAGTTTGCTGGGCTGGAGAAGTGCTAGGATGCTGGGAGAATGTCCAGTGAAGAGCAGAAATGCAAGAGCTACTATCCTGAATGGGAGGCAAAGTAGAACTGTGGCTAAGCTAGCAGGCTCTGGAGTTGGGATGACCCGAGTTCAGTTTCATTCTTAGCAATTTCCAGCTGTGTGACCTCAGGGAACCTCTGTGAAGCTTAACTTCAATTTACTCAGCTGTAAAATGGACCTCAACTAGCTCCAGCCTCAGTGGACCAAACTAGATGACCCATGCACTGGCCTATGTTAAGGGCTCAACAACTTTCAGCACCTATTCTTGCCATTGATGCTGGCTGCAGGAAGGACATACCAGTGTGGCTCTTAGAAATGGGAGGCAGGAGAAGAAAGTGAGTTGGGACTGATCCTGAACCACTGTCTGATACTGAACAAAACCTTTGCCTTTGATGCCACCGACTGTCAACCCTTATTTAGGCTTGACTGGGAAAATACTGCTGCAAATACAGACTAGCTCGTCAAGGCTGGTGATGGATTTGAGAGTACAGTGGAAATACTTAGGCTCTAAGCTCTTGGTGCAAACCAGAGGGAGTCACCAAAGCACTCGATCTTTGCCTGTCTCTCTTAGCTTGTAGCTCCTTTAGGATAAGGTTGGCTAGCCCTAGGTTTGTCTTTCCTGCTAGGGACCCTTGGAGGGAAAGACTCATTTGTCACTTTCACTTCTGTGTCTCTAGTCTCTTTTCCTGTGCCTCATTCTGAACTAGCATTCAAAGTGCTTGTTGAAGGAATGAATTTGTGTCCTAGTTATAGCCTTGACTTCCACCAGATCTTCAAGAATTGCCCTGATTTTGCAAACAGGAGTGACTACTCAGGGAAACTGAGGCACATTTGTAGGTTAGAGTCCTCTCCATCCCATCTGTCTGCGGTGATACACGTGCATCCTTATTAACGCTGGGGAATTGGTTTAGTCTGCTGGAAGCTGTAAATGAGGATTTTGTCTTCATTTGAATTCCTGCTCCAGTTCTGGAGGAGAACTCTCCTCTCAGGCTGGGGTGAGGGGAGAAGTGAGCTCACATACCACCTCTTAGTCATTAGGGGCTGCAGAGGGCCCCTCCTTGATGATATCTTCTCAGCTGTTTGCAAAACAGCCAGGGAAAGAGATGAAGCCCTGAGCCATGCAGCCTGGCTGTCTCTTTAAATGCCGGGGTCTGTGTGGGAGAGGGAGGGGCCAGCTCTGGAGTGCGTGAAATTCCTGGGCTCCTCCGGCAGTCTCAGGCTCAGAGCTCAGCCCTACACATCTCCTCTTGCATGCAACTCACTGAGAGGGAGAGACAGCGTGTCCTCCCCTCTCGCAGCCGCTGGCATCTGGAGCCACCAGGGACCTGCTTTTCGCACCTCCAATACCCCCTCCCTTCTTCCCCGCCACTCCCTCCCAGAGAAAGAGAGAGAAAAAAAAGAAAAGGAGAAAGATTCTGGAATTTGAACCTTCCCAAAGAGGAAACACCCAGAAAACTCAGTTGATTAAACATCAAACAAACAGACAGATCCCAACTCTTCTGTTCAACTGGAAAGGTAAGATTTTTTGGGGGAAAGACAGGCAGGCAGGATGAGAAACAACTCCGGGTTCTGTCTGTTCTGGGAAGAGGTTGCTCTTGCTCCTGAGAGGGTAGAAGTTTTCAGCTGGGAGCGACCAACCTAGATTTTTTTTTTTTTTTTTTTGAATGCTGGATTCGAGAGGCTGACCACGAGAATGGCTTTTCGACTCCTTTTCTTTTCCATCAGTTTCTCCTGGAAGTTGGGTCCTTTTGCTTCAGATGTTGGAAAAGTCAGAGAATGTTTGAGATTTAATAGCTTCGTCTTTCTTTTTCGAGTCATTCTCCAAATATTTGCTCGGATTGTCGGTCTTAAAATGATGTGTGCTGGTCACTTCATTTTGGGTAGATACTTTTTTGACATTTCCAAGCCACTTGCTCCCCACCCCCTCTTCCCTCTCCCCTTCCTGGGGAAGGGGCTAGTCAAAATGAGAAAGAGAAGGGACACTCTGGGATCACCAGAAGACAAAATAAAATTGAGACAGGGATTTCCCTAGCTGTTGAGGAATGGAGGTATGTATGTTGAGTATGTGTTGGGTTTGATTTTTTTTTTTTGGGGGGGGGGAGGGTGTGTGAGGAGGTTGTTCTTGAGTCTGAGAATTCAGGTTGGACTCCTGCTATCTTGTTGTGACAGTGGGCACACTTGGGGAAGGTGAAAAGGAAGTGTGTGAGCGGTGTGCGCTCCTGTTTGGATCGCTTACAAGGGAATCTTCCTCCTCTGCCTTCCATTTGTTTATATTAATGATTTAGTAGCAGCCTTGCCTGAAAACTTCCACTATGTGTAAGCACTGTGGGTTTTGCAAGCTCTCAGTGACCTTAAAGACTGGTTCGATGTATTGTTATTTCAAGGCTTTGTGCTGTTCCCAGAGTTTCGGCTCTTTCCCTCTTTCTTTTTTAACCACAAAACTTAACTGCTTTAGAAACATCATCCTGATGACAAGGGGAAAAAAAAAAATTTGTCCCCCAGCCCCCATCCCTTCCCAGGCCAGTGATGTAATACCAACCCATGGGCTCGGCTGCTTTGCAGGTGACTTGCCCTGTGATTACTTGTTAAAAAAAATAAAATAAATTTCTCCCTTCCTCCATTAAATGCCTACCTCTTTTGACTTGGATGCAGAAATATCATCATGCAATGAAGAAAATTATATATTCTTTTGCGAACCATTATTTGGGTTTAGTAAAGTAGGTTTCCTCTTCCCTGATCTTTATTTTTATTTATTTTTTAAATGCAAAGGTCAGAGATCATTGAGAGCTAACCACTCGGATCAAATAAGATAGCTGGTAGAGCAGGAGCTGTCTTCTCCCCGCTTCCTCCGGTTAATTCCCGCTTTGGGGAGATAGTGTTTCTTTTGCCACCAAAAGCCACCCCAACATTCTGAATTCTTTCTCTGACCTGGGTCCTGAGGATGGCTCTGGGAGGGCGAGGGGCACTCCTTCTCACACCTGGAGGACGGTGTAGTTTCGGGGGTCAGATGACCATTTGCCTTTGTGATGAAGGCTTCAATGGAAATTTGAACTCCCAGCGCGCTGGGTGACTTGGTTCCTGGGATAGTCTATCTGGGGGCACCTGGAGGTTAGTCTATGGAGCCTGAAGAACTGGCCTTTCTCAATTTGCTCTTCTGGATAGAGCCTCCCTTCCTCGTTCAAGGGCTTCTGCATCGCCTTTCAAGTTACAATGGTCCCGCCGGTTATGATGGGCAAGTTTACCTAAGGGCTACTGGGTACGTGTCGGAAGGATGGTGGGGAGAGAGACGAGGCAAAGCTGGTATTTTTTTTTTTTTTAATCTTCTGACTTAATCTGCCTAAGTCCTATCGGGGTGAACGATATTTCAGATGGGTGCTAGTCGTGCAGAGATATTCCTATTGTTTGTTCTTTTTGTTGTTGATGGGGAGTGTAGTAAGGGCTCTTGGCCCATTTTCTGCAGCCCTGGGCTCAACCTGCGAGCCAGTCTTCCTGCTGGAAGAGGGGGAAAGCTGGACGCTGGAAGTTCGCTATTAAAGTGAGCAACAGGGCTGGGTTAATTTTTTTTCTTTTAAACAACCGGACTGTGTGAATGCCCTTTTCTGGAGCTTTCCAGCCCTTTCTAGTGAAATTATAATTTAAGAAAATTGCTTCTTAAGAAGGGGAAGCCAGAAATCAAAAGGATTCTAGATTTTGAGAGACAACTACGTCTTTGCTTCTCTGGTAGCTCCCTATTATTAATTATTGGGGGTTTGATGGGGGTCTGGCCTCCGTTTCTGTTGATTTCTTTTTAATGCTGCGTTTCTACTGACTATGTTGATGATTTGCTGCTTATATAAGGGAAAGGATGTATCGAGGTGGATTGATGCTTGGGGTTTTGAGATCGGCTACTGAGATTGGGTGGCGGTTGGTGTGTTTGTCGATGTGCATGGTAGGAAGGTCTTTTCTTTTGGGTGGTGGGGGACAAGGGAATGGTCGGAGAACGGTAGATGAGATGCTCCAGCGAATGGGAACCTGGGGGGACATGGAGGTGAGGTCGGAAGTCACCGGTTTGCAGAATTTCTGTCCTGCATCCCCTGTTTCTCTCGCTTCTTGGGGAAAAAAAAAAAAAGAAAGAAATCCATTATCTCTAAAAACACATTATTCCTCAATTGGCCTTTTAGAGGGGAAAAAAAGGAGAGGGAAGGGAGGAGGTAATTTGGTGAGGGGGCTTGGTTGTAATTAGCCCACTGCTGCAAAAGTGAGATACAGAAATCCATCGGCATCAGCTTTGGGGGCACAAGAGGCAGCGGAGAGATGGGGGACGGGTTGTCAGTCTTGGATGAACAGTGCAGCAGTGGGGTTGGTGTTTGGGTATTGTGTGTATTTGTGTCTCTGTGTGTGTGCAATTTTTTTCACCGCACCACCGATTTCCCCCTCCATCCTCCATCCTCCCCCAATTCTGCCATGATCTTGCCTCCTATCTCCACACACTGTCCCCCCATCCTATACACCCCCTCCCCCTTTTCTCCAGCCCTTTCTGTCTCCATGAGAAAAATTCTGATTCTGATGGCTCTGCGGCTCTTTTTTTTTTTTTTTTGCAACACAACAGTGGTGCGATGGCCTTTCCTACATGCCACACGGATGCAGCCTTCTGATAGGAGGGCTAAGTCGGCACATCCACACACGCACTGGCACACGCGCTTGCACACACACACTCTTACATACGCGGCCGACCAAGGGCTTGATTTTGTTTGGTTTTGTTCCCCTTTACCTCTTTCCCCACCTCTACGTCCACCATGATGCCTTTCCCCCTCCTTCACAGGGGGGAATGCTGTAATGTTAGGGCTTCATCTTCTCCTGCAACCGCTCTCTTCTTTCCTCTCGCCATTATTCTTTCCGGAAAGCTGTGGTGTGTCGCAGTTTCATAGGATTAGCATGTTAGAGAGTCTTTGGGGGAGGGGGCCTCATGAGGAGGGGATTGGAATGGGGGTAGATGACATTAATGATTTTTTTTTTATTTGGCCAAATAAGCACCCGGTGATAATGATCCAATTTAACCATCCATGAAATCTATGTTTGCGGCACATTGGAGGAAGGTTACAGGGGAAGGCAGCATCGGGACTGGGTTACCTCTGGGGAGGTTTGATGCCTGGAGAGTAGACACAGCCCCCTCCCCATGCACATGGGTACTCGCTCTCACACCCCCACCACACGCAGCCCTGATCAGTGGGCTGTGTCAAAACAGAGGGCACTGCAGAATCGCCCAGCAACTCGTCGTGGTTCTTTGGGAGGATGGAGTGATGTCTTTGTCCTACCCAGCTCTCTGCTCTACGGATGATGCCGGGTCTTGACATTTTTGGTTGGCCTTCCTGCTGCCTTTCGGGTGGGGGCTGGAAGGGGATCTGTGTGTTATTAAACAGTGGTGTGCCTCCAATTGGACCCCACGGTTTTGCCAACCCGCTGTGTGGTTCGGGCAGTAGGCTGCCTGTCTTTTTGTGCCGTGTGGCTGTTAAGTGTTGGATGTGTATGTAAGAGTGGCTCTGGAGAGGTGTGCTGGCCATCAGGGGAGACGGGCAGAACGCAGGGGTGTGTAGCGGAGGGACAGGAGAATGAAGTCTTCAAAGCAGTTGAGAAGAAGGTAGAGGGGGAGAGACTGCTGTTGTCTCCAGCAGGAAGCCTCAAATGAGATCCCCACGTCCACCAAGCAAGTCCGTGGGCGGGTGAGCTCATGGATGATGGGTGGGCGGATGCAGACTGAAGGGGGAGAAGGGACAAGGTGGGTGAGGCTGAGGGTTTTCCCTGCCCCTTGCCAGAGCTCTGGACTGAGCTCTGAGGACAGCCTCCTCTCCCAGGCCAGCTCTCTTGGGCAGCATGGCCCTGGAGGCTGCAGCCTGAAGGAGCCGATTGCCCTTGGCCTTGAGAGCAGCTCCAGCCCCGGTTCTCCGGGGCTCTGGCTGCCTTAACTACAGACGCCATTTTTCTCTTCTCCTTCAGCTAGCACTCTGTCCCTCTTTATTAGCAATTGTGAGTGAAATTGGAAAACATTTTGCTTTAAAGAAAAAAATATATATATATTTCAGAGTAAAATGTTGATTATCTCACCTTTCTGTCATTCTTCTCCCTTCCTGGGGCTGACCTTGAGGAGTTGGGGAGAAAGGGTTACGTCATTGCCAGAGAAAGGGGAGAAATGGGGAGTTGGATGCCTCAGAGGTGAATTGTGCCCAAATCAGAGAAGGGCTTGCTCTCGGGACCCCCTGGCCCTATTCTCCTTACACGACCCTCCAATGTGGGTGGGAGATTTGCAAAAGGGCAAACATCCTGGCCATAGCTCTTTGCCTAGAAATACACCAGCTGGTTGCGTCTGTTCCTATGGTGGTCCAGCCCTGTGTCCCCAAAGTATGTACCAGCTGGGGAAGAATGGTCGCACTGCAGCTCTGACCCTTGAGGGCCAGCTCTGGCTGCTCTGCAGATACAGTGAGTGCAGTTGTGTGGCAGGGCCAGCCACAGGTGGCTCTGCTGGGCATGGGGCATGGGCT